TGTCTGATCAGCGTTTCAGAGAGCACATATTGACAGCGACATCAATTTCCAACGCGCATATTCAGTGCTAATCGGGCGATCTCTTAGCATTAACAAATTGCCCAACCCAAGGATGGGAATGGAAAATGGGCATCGAAATTCGAAACTAAATCTCAATTATGCAAATCGAAAGTCGAACTAATTTGTTAGTTGTCGTCAGCGCTGGGGCTATTAATGAATTTACATGGTCATAAACATATAGCCAACCTGTATACATATATATGCCATATGTCATTGAAGGCTTTATCTGTGGATGGGCCTGGGGCATAAATTAGACAGGCGACAGGTGTAGGCAGCTGTGAGAAGATTGAGATGAAGATGCCTTTTCATAGATTGTGCAACACACACACGCACAGAGTGAGAGGGAGAGAGAGAGTGTGTGTGTGTGTGTGTGTGTAACCCAATAGCTTTACACTGTGCCGAGTGGGTGGACAAGCTGACAGACAAGACTGTGACACACTTTGTTTAGTTTTAATGCCCAATGACACTGATGACATATTCGCTGTGTGCTTGTGGGTGTGTCCAGGTGTTTGCCTTGTTCGTTGATAAGTCACGTCTCGTTTGCATCCGCATAGGAAGCCGCCCGCCCGCCTCTGGCTAATGCACATTAGTTTGGCCAATTAAACTGGACTTCAGACTTATTTAAAACTATTATCTGCGCCATGGACAACCGCAGCAAACACGACCGCACATGCCTGCCCCATAATCAGTTCGAACAAATCAACTTTCGAATGCGCATGCAGCGCAACCACCGAAACCACCGAAACCGTCGAATGGCATTGCATAGAGTAGTGTGCAGTAAAGTGGGGTATGCCACACTATGAGATATCCGGCATGCCATACCTTGTTTGCTGTAGCTGGAATATGGAGCTATATAGCATCTTATAATTATGGATTTACTATGATTAATATTTTTTTACTTTTTGATATATTATACATTTGATATATTATACATAGGTGCATATATCTTTTTCTCCTTTACCTTTTCGCTACTTTAGCATCTAAAACAATCTTTGGCCTATGTTCAAAGCTTAAGTATTTTTAAAAATTTAAGCATTTAAAATAATACTAAAATATGTTTATATTAATATTTTTCTATAAATTAAACTAAAATAAAATATATGAAATATAAAAAAAAAATATAATACAAAATAATAATTATTTATAAATCAAATTTAATTTAATAAATATTTTACATAATAGGCACTCTTAAATATAGTTTGATATTGCTATTGAACAACTTCAATTTAATATTAATATTTTCATAAAATATTAGTATGCCAACACCATAGATATCCGGATCTTGAGCTGTGCACGACAAGTAGCAGCTGCATTAAAAATTCTAGGAAATTGCAGCACCTCTGAAGATTTGGATAGGCCTCGCGGCTAGCCCTACTCACTCAGTACGAGGCGAGGCGAGGCGGAAGTGCGTGCATATAATGGAACCTATTCAGTTACTTAAAAACCCCTACACGTTCGACTATCTGGTCTATTTACTAATGCAGCCCACACAGTCTGTCGGGTTGACAGTTCACACTTTCCAGCAGCAGCAGCAGCAGCAGTTGTCAGCTGTGCTTCGTGTGCGTGGACAAACAACAATCGAAATGTGTACTAAAAATACAAATATCATAACAATAAGAGGTAGTCAGCTCAACTACATAGTCCGAGATACATTTGAGCCGAGCGCAAGGAATCTGCCCCGACAGCCACTGACAGACGAGCGGCAAGCGCAGTGCGAGGGCTAATCTTTAAGTGGAAATCTGTTTTTCCATTTGAAGTGCAGGCTGTTGAAAATATTAAAAAGCAATTTCGAATCTTTCAACATTTTTCCTTTCGCTGCGGAATTTCGTTTTAATTAACCCCACTTGAGGCCAACTTAAGGTAAACTGCGTCGACTGTTTGCCCTCTATTTGTAAATATTTGTGGTAGATTTTTACACACAGAGTCTAGACAGCTTGACAAATGCAGTAAAACGCACACACACACAAGCACACACACACACCTACAACTAATTACTTGCCACGCACTTGAACTAGTTTTTCAGTTTCCTCAGCATGAAGTGGCTCCAGAGTGAATTTTGTAAAGGAGGCTGAGACCTTGTCTCAGTTACATTTTGATAAGATTTAGCTATATAAAAGTATATAGTATATATATATATATATATATATATATATATATATATAAGTGTGTGTTTCTCTGCCTGCATGGGGTAAGCATCATTTGACTTGAGTTTCTTAGCATTTTTAGCATTAGTTGGAAAAGCTGCTGCAAATGAAATGAAACTGAATCAAGTGCAAATTCTAAGAAGCGGCTGCTTAACAAAAAATGCCCTCAAGAGCCAAAGGTTTCACAATCTCAATTTCATAATTATGTTTAGTTGGAAAAGACAAAGTCTCGAGTGCTTATGCAGTATTTTATATCAAAGAGTTTTGTAGTTCCTTAGCGAAAATGTAAGACTTTGAAAAGCAGCTCCTTTCACTTGCCTCTTGATTAATAAATATTTATGAATAAATATATTTATATATATTTTATAATATAATAAATAATTTAAATTTAAAATATAAGCTTGTGTATAAAAAAAAATAATAATAAATAAAGTATATAAAAAGTAAAATGAGGAAAGATCTTTGAGCTAATGTGTCTTAGGATATATAATTTTTAAACATTTATGAATAATTGCTGCCGTATGTAAATTATACTAAATATTTACTGCATACTGCAGGATACAATACTATTGATTTGTAAATTTTTAATATTAGAAAAAAGCATTAAGTAATTGAGCTGACTTTATGGAATATGCAGCTCTGTTCATAAAAATAGTAGTGCGACTGAGCCAACAGAATTTAGTAATGAACAATGAAAATGAAATAATGAAAATAATTCGAAATGAATATTAAAATTAGCATATATTAAATTAGATATTTTTTTGGCACAAACTTCAGAATTTGAGAAAAAATTCACAAAAATTGGCTGTTCAAAAAAATAGTAGTGACTGCTTTAAAAGCAAAAATTCTTTTTAAAATTACGCAAAGTTCATAAATATTTTTGCAAATTTGTTATATTTGGCAAATATTTTAAATAAATTGAAAACTTGAAGGCCTTCAGCTAGACAGCTATGAAGCGATGTTCTGGTCACATTTTATTTATTTTAAAATATTTTGCTTACAAAATTTCTCATAATATAAACTTATTAAAAAAAAAAGGGAAAAAATATACAAATTCTGTTTTTGTATTCTTTACCAGGTTTAATATTTTACTTTATATTTTATATATATGATTTATTATTAAAAATATTGTTTACTTATTTATAAATATTTGTGTACACTTAAAATATTGACAATTTTTATTATATTTTTCTTTTTTTCTCTATTCATTTTAAATTTAATTATTTATTTATTTAAGCTTTGTTATTATTTAAATAAATGCAGCTCCACATTTTTTTAATTTTTTTATAAACTATAAAACTTTAGAGCAGCAACAATATAATAAATAAACAAGTATTTTACATAGGTTTATTATAAATATATACTCAACATTTACAAAATTTTGTTTAAACAAATGTTTTCATATTTTTGTTAGCTTTTTCAGTTCTATTTTAAATTGTTGCACGTTGCAGTTGCAACAACAACGAAGCGTCGCGTGTCAAATATTTATACAATTGCTGCTACATGGATTGCATTTTCACGCCGCATAATTAGACAACAACAACAACAACAATGAGTTGATAACAACAACAACATCAGAATTCAATTGAAATGCAACTCAGCTGCAGCAGCAGCGGCAGCAACTCGAAAAAACTACAAATTTAATTAAATGCCAAACGCAACTCGTGCAACATCAACAACAACAATGAAGGTCTATGAAACAACTGTTAACGGCGTCTAACAAAATGCTAATAACATGAAGGCAGCTACTCGTATGTAAAGCCTGTAGATGCGGGTGCAAGTGGGCAATGGAGGAGCGTTTATATATATAAATATATATATATGTATATATAGACAGAATCGAATGAATAGACATGCAATGCATATTCAAATCGATAATCAGCCTAGTGCAAAGCGTGACCCATTTGAAATTGCCGATAATGTAGTTTTTTTGGTAAGGAGTTGTTGGGTCTAGACATATCTATGAGTCTATCTATGAGGTAGTGGCAAAGTACAGTTCGAGCAAGCTAAGGCGTGGAGCTGTTCAAACACCTCAAAGAAACACAAAAAACAGGCGTAAAACTTGGAGAATTTCAATTGAAATGTAAATAAAATAAATAAATAATGAAAACTTTATTTAATTGTATTACTAAATATTTTATGAAAATTCTATCAATAATGGAGCACAGAAAATATAGAAATAAATATATTGGAATTTGTTGTAAATTTTAAAATATTATATTTTATAAATTAAGATATACATTATATTATTACTCTTCTTATTTTGTGCGTAGATCATAGTTTTTCAAATTTTCAAGAAATCTTGTTGGTTGAACGATCACAGAAGATCTTTCAGAGGCTCTAACTGTAGAGATTTAATTTATAGAAAATTAAAAAAAAAATATCTGTTTAAGAACTTCATTTTTGTTAATGTGATTAAATTATTTTTATAATATATATTCTATTAGATTATCATTAGACAAGCAGCAGACCTATAGGCACGACTGTTAGTAGTAACTTGAGAATATGTTTACTTTCTATGGGCTTTTTTATAATTTTATTTTAGTTTAGTTTTGTATAGGTTAATTTAATTTAATTTTTTTTAAATACAATTTTGTTAAAAAAATGATAAAAATGTAATAAAAATAATAAATAAATAAATAAATAATAAAACATTCATTTGTTTGTTATATTTTATGAACAACAATTTAATTTCTGTTAACTTTTTGTATCTATTAATAATTTATGCAAATCTATTTATTTAAACTTAAATAAATCTTGAATAAATAATTCTGAGCAATAATTGTAAACACTCACCTTTTCATCTATTGCAAAACGAATTAGTTTTTCCGATTCGTCGAACAAATAAATTGTTTATTTATTTATTAGTTTGCTCAGTTGTGAATATATCCTGGATTATAATAAGTACGTTTCATTGCTCACATTATGCACTGACACATTGACACCAACACACACACTCGCGCGCACACACACACACACACATGTACATGTGTACATATAAATCTTGTGAGGTTTTGGCTTTAGTGTGTGTTAACAAAACTGAGGCTCCGTCAAATCACTTTTCCAATTGCATTTCTACGCACTTTCGGCACACTTGTTTTGTTTGCATGTCGGCACTAGGCTAACCGTTATTTGTTGGCTGCTATTCAATCGGTGCGATTCCAATTAGAAGCGCGACGCGTTGTTGAGCAGTTCAAAGCAGCGAAAAGTTCGCTGCCAGCAGGATATTTATGACTTAGCTCGACTTATATTCTGGCAATTTTCCGGCAGCTGTTTGATGGCTTTGCAGATTTAATGTTAACAACTTTTTAAGCCTCAACACGCTCTTTTCGCATTTGCATAAAGACGCCTCGCACGTAAAACAGTTAGAAGATTTACGCAAAATGACGAATATACGACGCTGTTGACGGCGACGAACAGAACTGCGCTCCGACCACAAACACTCGCGACGAGTTTCGCTTTACAACTGGCGCCTTCCAATTGGAAGCAACGCAGCCAAAGCCAGAGCCAGAGCCAACAGCAGTCAAACTAAGCATAAGTAGCGGCATGCGTATGCACGAGCCGCAGCATTGAGTGCGTGCGTTTGTGGGTGGCTGTATGGATGCTTCGGCTGCACGAGCTCCTTTGCTTCGCGTCAGTCATCGGTTCGTTTGGTGCTTCGGATCGTCTGTGGCAAGAGAGCGAGCATGTGAGCATGGAAATCGCATGCGAGAAATGCTTTTATGGAAGTTTTTAAAATAAATACTTAGTAAATTATGGAAACTCATTTGTTATTTATAAAATATATAATTAATAGTTCTTTTTATAATATAATATAATTTTTTGGAATTTTTTCTATATAAAATTCTATGCATGCAATTAAACTGCCTTGAGAGCATATCTATTTGCTATAAATGTTGCTCTCATTTTATAACAACTCTCTCTCTACATATGCCGGCAGACAACAGAACTTGTTTCTCAGCTGCTTCGCTCACTGGAATTGGAAGAGCGACTGCCAACAGCTGTTTTTTGTTTATTTCAAACACACTCTCTGTTGTTGTCTGTTATGTATCTGTATGCATGTGTCAATGTGTGTGTGTGTGATAAGCACGTGTTTTTATTGTCGGCGATTGTCAGTTAGTGCGCGGGTGAGAATTGACGCCGTCGTCGCCGTTGCCGACGCCTACGTCACTGTTACAACTCCCAACACTGTTAACAGCGACTGTTAGCTGATAACAGCGGCAATTTCCATTGCTGTTAGAGGACAAAAATATATTTTGTTGATAAAAATAAGGAAAATATTTGTGGTTTTGGCTCAGACCAAGCAGCTAATTAGCTTAGCATCCAATTAGTTGGTAATACTCATGCAGAACACACCTATGTACAGCCCACGCCCCGTTGACCCCAACAAATGGCACGCGCAATCGTTGAAATCGGGCGCGCAATCAATTAAAATTGAGTGAGCGAGAGGGAGAGAGAGAGAAAGAGAGAGCGAGGTGAAGAGATACAAAATATTAGAAACATTTAGGCGCACACTTGAAAGGATTAGGGAGTGCACGACTGGGGCATACCCTGTAAGCAGCTGTCCATGGCCACAGGCAAGTGCTTCTGCTACTATCACTGACCACATAATTACAGGGTATATAACAGCTAAAATGCCTGGCTGTCTGCCTGCCCCAACGACGCTTGCAAAATCAGCAAATGTGTCACAAACTGCACGGGAATTCTGCTCCATGTAGAAAGAAACGCATTAATCTGGCTCGTTATGATTATTGCCACGCCCCCGATCCCCTGGCAGGCAAGCCACGTCGCTTGGGTGTCGTCGTCGAGCCGTCGACCATATGGATATATGGAAATATATACATTTATATATATATATATGTTTGTCTATGTGCCTTGAGTAATATGCCACAAATGTCTGCAACAGCAACAGCAGCTCGGCCTCCCTCTTGGTTGTCTGCTGCTCCAGCTCCATCGCCTCCATCGCCAGCGGCGCACGTTAAGCGAATCGTGCACACGCCCCATGACGATGATTAATTACCTTTTTGGGTGCTGCTCGTTGTTGCCGGCTGCCGCTTGCTGACTGCGACGTATCTGTGGCTGTAGCCGAACTTGTATCTGTATCTGTCTCTGTATCTGTGGCAAGTATCTGGCGCACATTTCACTTATGCACGCTTGAAGGAAACTGAACGCTGCTCTGGGCGGCCAGCGTGTTCCAGGCAACCTCAGCCCGAGCCGCGCTGATGAAGTTGTATTATTCATCACAAATAATTTTCGCACTCTGCAGCCGAAGCCAAAGCCCAAGTTGAAGTTGAAGCAGTTACGTAATTGTTTGGCAATCGATGGCTAGGGAACATTTGAAGAAGTTCCTAAAACTTGAAGTTGGAAATGTGAATGGGAACTTCTTAGTGCCAGTAGCTAGTTCAAATGAACTGATTGGCGTATATAATGCAAAGCGAGGAACCTTTACGATACTTTGTGATTTCCATAGAGCTCTCTTTAGAGATTATTTTCTGTCTATACAAATAAGAACTAGTTCAATTCAATGATTCATCAAAATGAACTAAAGTTGCTTAGTGATCAGTGAACTAGATATATAATTAAAGAGTTCATTTAAAGAACCAGTGAATTTATTTAGTGAACAGTGAACTAGATAGATAGCTAAAGAGTTCATTTAAAAGAACCAGGGAGGCTATTTAGTGAACAGTGAACTGGATAGATAATGGAACAGTTCATTTTATGGAACCAGTGAACTTCTTTAGTGAGCAGTGAACTAAGTAGATGACTCTCTATATTAATATTCATATCTTTCAGCAAAAGTTCAATTGAACTGCTTATTAAAATGAACCAGTGAGCTTATTCAGTGAACTATTGTTTGCTTCTTAATCGTTTCGTAGAGCTAGTTCGAATGAAAGTTAGTGAACTAAGTTCAATCGTTTCTCTATTTAATGTTAATTATTCTCTTAATCACTAAAAACTGATTCATTTTTCATTGCTCACATGAGTCAGTCATTCATGAACAATTTCTATTTGGCTATCAATCATGTGAGATTGAGCAACTGCAAAACATTTCAAAAAGATGTCCATAAAGCTCATGAACTGCAGTCGTCGAACTAGTTCATTTAGTTCACAACTGGGCAATGAAGAAATGAACTGGTTCAAATCTGATAATCTTAAATAACGGACAGTGATTGCTATGGCAACTATATGATCTAGTAGTTCACTTAATAGCTCCAACTCTAAAACTGATGCCTAAATGAACTAGTTCACTACTTGAGGGGGTTATTCAAAGTATCACAAGAGTATTAGCTTACAATTTCCTCCAATCTGTAATAAACAAAATCAATTGCACTTAGGCTAAGTCGTAGGTAAGCCTAAGATAAGACTATATTTAGTCAGTTGTTCACCCCAAGAAGGGTTAGCTCGATGCCGATTGTCTCAATGGGCAGCATATCGGGTTGCTCTGGCCTGCACTTGCACAAGTAATTTTAACAAATCGATAAAGTTGAAATGTAGATGCATTCCATACGTGAAATCGAGTCGGTTTCCGAGCCGAGCCGAGGGAGTTGGGAATATTTCACAGAAATACGAGACCGCATAGTCAATGAACCAAAACAAAAGGCAAGCGAACTGCAGAACAAACACGCATAGAAAAATAAATAAAAGTAAAAATACCAAAAGAGAAAAAAAGAGGAAAAAAACGAGCAGAGAAAAGAAAAACAAAATTTTCAACAATTTGACATCTGTTTCAACAATTCCGTTGCCCAACTCGCAGCAGCAAAAAGGACGCCACGTCACGTAGATTGACTTGTCCCCAACAGCAGCAACAACAATGGAGGACTCTTAAGGGACCTCAGTAAAGGCAACTCGAAACTCCTTCGTTTCCTTACATTTTACTTATAATACTTGTTCAGGAAGTTAAGCGAGTATATTGGCTGTGATTGTAAACAGAGATTTGGGATTTGTTATGTTTACTCTGTTTGCTCATTTTTAGGATAGACCCAATGAAGATATGGTAAATCGGGAATCTCTATATCTGTTTAAACTAGTGACTAAACTAGAGATCGTCGCCAGATACACTCTAAAAGCTATATATGGCCCCAAAAGTTCGAAGACTCTCTATGTGGACTTCCATTAAGACTCTCCAAGTAGACTTTCTTTATGTCCTCTCCATGTAGACTTTTTAGACTATATAGACTATCCATGTAGACTTTAAATATGGCCTCTCCATGTAGAGTCTCCATGTGGACTCTCTACATAGACACTCCATGTAGACTCTCTACATAGACTCTCCATGTAGACTCTCTACATAGACTCTCCATGTAGACTCTCTACATAGACTCTCCATGTAGACTCTATATAGACTCGCTATATACACTCTCCGCGTAGACTCTCCATGCAGACTCTCCATGTTGACTCTTCATGTAATCTCTACATGCAGACTCTCCATGTAGACTCTCAATCGAGACCCTCTATATAGATCGCTATATAGACTTTCCATGTATGGCATCTCCACGTAGACTCTCCATGCAGACTCTCTATATAGACTCTCCATGTAGACTCTCTACATAGACTCTCCATGTAGACTCTCTGTATGGACTCTTCTATAGTTTGACTGAAAATAGCATACATACATACTCTAGGCTCTTATGTAAGCTCTATATTTTTAGAGTTAGTATCATAATTTTTTGCACTCGAGCTGCGCTACTAATATACCCAAGATGATAAATTAAAAACCCACTTTGTGGCTTGGCGCATTCTAAAATTTCTCCCTTTTCAATAACTCTTTCTGCTTAGCAAACATTAACAAGTATTTCGCAGTCGCTTACGCCCGATCGCCGCTGTCCCACTTGCCTTTGAAGTCTAGCCCTGTGTGCGTGGATGTGACAAATGTCAAGGGTTAATGAGATCCACGGCTATTGAAATGGAGTTGTGTTAATTATCTGCAAGAACGAAACGGGAGTTTTAACGCTTCATTAGGCAAACGTCGGGCTGGCCGGTTGGAAAATACTTTTCAAATACTTTCCACTCTGCGGGGTTGCATGTGGCGAAAGTAAGACCGAAATTTCCAGTTCCTTTTGGGGTAAACAATATACACAGAGAGAGAAAATGTGTTGCAGCAGTGAAGAGTCAAATATCGTATTACTAAATGGACACGTTTTAAAGGCGAATGCAATTAGTCAGATTTAACTTGGGTAAAGATTTCATTTGTGCTGCGGAACAGATGTTAGAACGAAATGTACCAAGAAGTTTCAGATTATAAATCTTTTTTTTTAAACAAACCATCTATGATGCTTGGAAATAATTAAAAAATAATACATTATTATATGATGAAACATTTTATATTTATTTTGCTATATTTGAATGCAATTCTATTTAGTTATCGTTTAATTACAAGGAATAATATGGTTTACGATTCATAGAAAATAAAGATTTTTTTTTTTCAATCGCGATCAGTCGTTCGACCTGTAAAGA